GTTGCAATAGCATTAAATTACATTAAAGTATCGATTTTCCCCAAAGGTTATTCTATAACTTACATATATTACAATTTACATTGTTCATTCGTTCGGTATAACCTATATAATACGTATATGTAATAGGTATTTTGGTTGTTAGTTACATATGTTATTTATCAGTGTATATTTTTGGTTCAATATGTTAATTACCTTTGTGATGATTACGAATTAGTACCACAACCTATATTACATACCTATGTTTGGTGAATTGAATTAAATAGTAGTACCATCTCTTTTTTTAAATAAAAAAATAGGTGTTCTAACAAAATCTTTTTATTTAACACATGTATTATTATTATTATTTTTTTGTAACATTAAGGTAGTTAACAATATATAATAGGTAATATACAATTAAATTATTTATTGTTATTTTCAAAAGTCGCATGAATTTATATTGAAGAGCTGTACTATTGTATCTTGTTTGTAATTCTTATACTCAGTCTTTGAATTTCGGCTTGTTGTGCAAATAAATAGATAAATAAACGCCCATATTTTTACAGCATAGAAATAAAATCGATGGAAATATATTTTTTAGATATTTTACCTATCGGAAGAGTTATCTGATTTTAAACTTATTGTTGACCTTATATGATCCAAGTTGTTGACTCTTCAAATTTTAATTTTTGTAAGAAAATAATTAATAGAATATCGAACCAAAAATGTTGGTGTATTAATCCAAATTACAAGCATATAAAGAATTCCCTACATAGGTATTGAGAGATATCTGCGGTACAGTGTACCTAGCTATAACATTATGTTGAATCAATACCTATGATCATATTATTTAGGTGGATGATTTCAAAATTTTATATTGGATGCAAAAAAAATTATAACTAGTCAATCACGATCAGAGCAGTTCTAAAAACCTTAGATACCTTACAATTTTTTAAATATTATCAAACATACTTTACGAAATATTAAACATTAATCGCTTTTTCTATAGCAACGTGGTCGGGAGACCTTGTTACGATATTAGTTATCCAGAGAAGGTTTTCTATTCCTTATGGATAAGTTTTCCGTTATTGGGGGTTAGAGCACTGTATATGAGATATTTATCAATAATAAGACACGTTTGGTTTATAGATCCATATTAATATTATTATATTAAAAATAATACATTACTAATGTAGATGGCTCTAAATAAGTGTATTTGGTGAGTTCACTCCTGTTGATGGTGACTGTCGAACTAACTGCTGTGTGTCATTTTAATAATAATGTAATTATGTGCATGGGTAGAAAAGTGTTGAGTGAGTATATATTATGTATTGGTCAATCATATAGTGTGTGTTAAGTGTGGGTATAATATTTATATGTATATAAGGTGTAACTAATGTTCCACTATAATAAAATGAAAACGAGTAGTTAAAAGATTAATAAAAACATATTGCATTAAAATTGATTAAGCATTTTAAAACTTAGAAGATAATTTAAAATAGTAGGTGTGTTAGATAGTTACAGTAAATAATATATATAGACATATAGTATACTTACTTAAAATCTTCAATAAATATTTATTCTCGGAAGTATTTAAACTCAAAAACAATTAGTTTTATCATTAAAAATGACTAGGTAAGACTATAATCATGTTATGATATTATCCTTGATGTTAAAAAAATTAAAAAGTTATAAATTTCAATAAAAAATCTGTAATATATGGGATCTATGATGTAGGTATAATGTATGAGATGCAAATGTACAATTGCATTCTGCAAATGACGCCCCTGATATTATTATTTGATACGAACTTCGTACTTTACATAGCAAATAACCATCAAATATCAATGCGTGCTATATCTATGCCAACTCGTCTTTAATTTTTTCGCTCGTTATTATTATTTTTTTTAAAACCAATATAAAAATAAAAAAAACCAAGAAACCGATTTATTTAAATTTTAATCTAGTCGTATAATACCTTTGTTCGTTTGTTTTGTCGGGTGTATAATATACATAAAAAAAAATCATCATACATATATGATATATTATATATTGTGCGTCAAACTACAAATGGAGTTTAAACCGTCGGTATAAAGTGGTGATCACACGGAACACGATGAACGATAGTGAATATTCACCGAAACGCTCTAAAATATATATATTTTTTTGTTTTTAAAAATAACTCTACTTTATTTGTGTAGGCATATTATACATATGCCATGTAAATAAAGTACTTGTAATCTCGTCGACGGTAGATGGAACTTAATGTAGTGCCCGTTGTATTTTTGGAATAATATATATACATGTATATTTAGGTGTAGTATATTATTACTAAAAAGTTAATCGGTATACATTAGTGCTTTAATTTCAATTTACAAGAGTGTTTTTTACGATAATAATCAATTCACGCCAGTGTGTTTATTAGTTTTCAATCAATTATAAGTGGATTATATTGTATTTACCGATCAAGTTGATATAGCATGATGGTAATTGGATATGTATATGTGTAATATTATTCAGGCGATAAATCTCAAATTAAAATACTCACTCCGTTTTAATACTTATCAATAATAATCTTGTACCTAAACAGATTTTAATTATATATATTATTTTTAAAATGGTCATTATCAAGTTTATATATAGTTCATTTAAATTATTATGTATTTTACATAATATTAGTAAGCTAATCGAATTATTATACAGACATACCGTAGTAAGATACACGATTATAAATGCGTATAATACAATATATAATATAATAATAGTTTAATCGTACACCATCAAAATTTATGAAACACTTATAATTGCAGATAAATTGTAAGCGGAATTATTTACACGAGTTGTTTGTAAAAAATGTTGTTTGACAAATTGTGTTCATTCAAATCGTATAGATTCATTATAATATATTATGTACTAAACAATTACTCGGCGTTCGTCGTGCCTTTGTCATTGTGTACAGGCTGCCGAACATCGATCCATCATTGCTCTATAATGTTGTGTTATATGCATTGTTTTATCACGTACCTTGAGCCGGCCGTACAACTCGCACGAGTTCACGATAAAACGCAAATCGTACAGAAAGGCAAAATATAATTCATACATACATATATAATACGCTTCAATTGTTTTTACTATTTGTTCAGTGGAAACTTTTCCATTTAGATGTTTATTACGTACCATAAACATCTCTAGAATGCTCACGAGTCATGATAGTATTTTCAGAATAATTTTCTGTAGATGGAAAAATGCCTAAACACACATTTCTGCATGATGTCTTTTCATCAATATAATAATAATACGCAATATGACGTTATTCGCGACATTTGCAAAAAAATAATATCGTTATCTATTTAATACCCTTCAATATTTGTTTTGCATTTTTTACAAACATGAAAAATCACAAATTCAATTTTCATACAAAAAGTTCTGAGAATTCATCGTTTCGATTTAATAATGTATTTTTATTTTAAAAGTTTAAACAACAACTATGTCTGCTAGTCTGCAAATGTAAAATGGCACAAAAATGTAGCACTACATTTTTTAAATTTAATCCAAAAGTGTTGACAATTGTATAATTTATAACATCGTAAAAAGGAGGCCAATTTTGACTTAGCCCAGTGATACTCAAATTTTTAAGTTCACAGGATATCCATTTATTTTGATTTATGTTTATAAAGTGTAAATACATAAATATATGAAATAAAACCATTATATAAGGGTTATTGTTGGACTTTATCAAAAAACATTATATGACTGATGTAGTGTGTGCTTTATTATAACCTATATATAAAGTTTTAATTGTTTTCCAAACAAAAATTTCTTGTGAAGTAAATATTTCATTTTTGCATAAGCTATACGCTTTACAGAGCTTATTGTTAAAAAAATTTAGTACACATTTTACTTATATAATATTCGAGTAAAAATAAAATGTGAATTAAAAGTTCTATTCTATCTTTGGACATGAATATGAAATTGAGAATTTATTAAATTAAATGAAAAATTTGTATATAGAGTAATTTGTCTACAATAATGTATAACGCTGTTAAACATAAAATACTGTTATTCTTCTAAAACTTGTTCCAACAAACCTGACCCATTTTTAAATGAAATCAAAACTCGCTTAGAAATATTTCTACAATATAGTAAAAGTTAAATGGAATTTTAGTTGATATACAGAATGCATAGCTGAATTAGAAGAGTTATCGTCCTGACGAAAAAGAGTGATATTTCAAAATGCTGTTGAAACAATTGTTATATTTTTCCCAAAGTCATTGGTTCGTGATATCTTGCTAATGCATCGCGCCTAATAGGTGTTCATTTATTTTCATATTTTTTTCGATTAGGTAATTTTTACTCTTCGTATAAGATAAAAGGTATATACGTCGTACCTACTACCTAATACATTATAATACTATGCACGGGTCGCAGGCCAGAAGCCAATGACTTGTACGGCCGGGGGGCTATGCTATTACACGATGTTTCAAATAAATCAAATTTAAGAAAATACAATAAAGATAAACTATTATTATTATTATTATTACGCTACTAAGCAGGCGCTTATAATGTAAAACATGGTGTAATTATTATTATATACAGCGCGACAAACGGAAAACGATGTACGTATACAGTTACCGTGTGAACTGGCTGAACGTGTAATTATTTTTTTTATTATTTGATATTGTTGTTTTATTATTATTATTTTTTTATTACAAAAATATTTACAATTTTTATGCGTCTACTGACATATTAACGAGTTCGAAGACATCTAAACGACGTGATTTGAGAACGAGTAGATATTAACTATATAATATATATATAGAACTATTACACGAGTAAATAATATAGTATAGTGCAGTCATCACATCTCTTTATAGTCGTCCGGATAAAATTTCTGCTGCAGCCCTAACACAACTCGGGTGGGCTATATTATTATCATTTGATGAGATTCGGGATTTTAATGTACTATATGTAGGTGTGAGCACGATAATGATGATGATAATAATAATGTACGTTCCAACACTCACCTGGTTCTGCAAATCCGATGATCTCTCTGGTGCGGCCGTAAAAATCGTCGGGCTCCGAATCAACGTCTCTGGTGGTCGGTAACCGCGTACTCGGTGGCAGTGTATTACCGGCTGCGGCGGCGGCGTCCGGGTCGGCGACAGTCAACCCGGACAACGGTTCGACGGCCAGTGCTTCCACCAGGAACCTCGTTGACCGCGCCTTAGTAATATTTGGTTTAGCGGTCATGCCAAGCTTGGACAGTATCTGTTCTTTGATCGCCTCTATTCGCTGTTTGTCCAAGCTAGACCTGGTGGCACTGTCATAATGCCGCCGTCCTCGCGGGCGGTGCTTCCGCCGATGGTGATGTCGATTGATACCGGAAGTCGCCGCCGACGACGACGATGAAGACGAGGACGACGAAGAAGACGAGGACGACGACGATGATGAGGACGACGGTAACGGGAGCGTACCAGACGCTCTTTTGCACCATGGGCAATGCTGTCGTCTACCACCTGATGTACCTAAAACAAAACAAAAAATAATTAACATTATATTATGCGTAATATTATACATCCGTACTTTAATGATAAACAGAAAATTATTTTCTGTAGTTATTTAAACAGCACACTAAAATACCCTTAATCAAAACAATTTGAGGAAAACAATTGCTATTAAGTTAATTGAATTAGGTATAGGTACGTACTACAATTATGTCTGAACCTAACAATCTCTTCCATATACTCGAATACTTAGTTACAATCTAAACCTACTTAAAAATTCATCTAACTTAACCATACATTCTCGTGGCATACTAAATTGTGTCTTTGGGTGATATCAAAAATTGATACATAATAAAAAAGTTATTAAATAATGAAATGCATGATAAGATATTTCTATGAAATGTTCATACATCGAATAATTTTCGATTTTTATTAAAAATAATGACGTGTTTTTTTACTGTTTTAACATTTTTGATCATTTTCACAATTATTTTTGGTTGCACTCAAAGTATCCAATTTATTCATTATTCATTATGATTATTGTTAAATACCTCCAGCAGATAACTAAAGCCCCCTTTTATGTGTTAAATGACACCCTCCATAGTGACCTCCTCATTCCGACAGTTGAAACTCTTTACAAACGTTTCCACCTCAAACTTTCAAATCACCGAAACCCTCTCATCCAAAACCTCTCCTCTCGAACAATCTTGGTCGACCCTGGCCGACGCGCGACGTTTAAAGCGTAGCTGGTGCCGTGATCTGCTAGTCGACTAGCTAACTAGTGCACTATAATCACTACTATCCCGCCATTAACTGCTATTATTGAATAGCTTCTTCATTCAAGCCAACCAAGACTTATTATGTACTCCTCCATTGTGCTTATTGTAAATTCCTCTTACAGATTGTACAATAAAAAAAAAAAAATGATTTTTGTAATAACTATTTAGACATTTTTTTAGAGAGATGTTTTTCAATTTATTTTTAGTCACTTATTAACAAAATAGATTTATATTATTAACTGTAGATAATCTATAATGAACACTTTATATTCTCTTTTGGTTTTAATTATTTTACTTATTATTATATTTATAATCTACATAATTAGCCCATAACTAGCATAACTAGCCCATAAATTATTGGTTATTATATAAGCACAATACATTGAACGTAACAATATGTTTTCTCGTAATGTTACGATTTTTATTTTTATTTTTTAACCCCTTACTAACTCATATATGTAATGGAATACGTAGTCTACCGTAAAGTACAAGTACCTATACCTGCGGATTAGCTATATTATTATATTAGATATATACGGAGACCATTCATTCTAGAAACCGTTCTAGCTAATATAAATTGTTATAAATTCCATTACGGAAATCCTATACCCACTCAACCATTTGGTAATTAAATAGCTAAAACTTAATAGTAATACTTTAAAACTAGTAATACTTATAACTAAACTATACTAACAATAGAAATCAAAAATAAGTAAAAGCATATTGTAATGTCAACAATCAACCATCAGCTTATGAAATTCGATCCAAGCAAAGATTGCATTGGTGATCTAGCCAATATATATATAAAATTTAGCTTGAGCTAAATCACTAAAATACACCAGTAAGTAGAATATTTATAATAATACATTATTTATAGTATAAATGGTAATAGATATTAAATAATACAAATTATTTTGAAAAACCTAAAGCAGAAAAATATTCGTTAATATAATAAACTGTATAGGTGATCAACCGTGTATCAACATTTTGATTCTAGAAGATTTGAATTTACATTTAATTGATACAATATTAACATACATAAAAAAATTAAAATTTGCCGGTCTGAGAAAAAGTAATTAATTTCTATCAGAATATTGATTATAAGTATTACATAAATATATTATATACCTATTTAGTACATAACAAAAGTATAGTTTTGAAGCACTGAAAAATTATTTAGTGTGGCAACTTTGTAAAAATAAGGAGCTATAAATTATATAATACCTAGTTATAATTAAAATTTGATTAACTGTCGATCAAACCGATTTCCATAAAAATCCACATACAAATACACACTCCGATAAATAGTGAAATTAGTAAAACATAATTAATGATAAGTTACTTTAAATATTAAATAAAATAGTAGGGTATCTACTCAAAACGATTAATATAAATTTATTAGGTATGAGCTATGATTATGTTTCTGCGTATACATATACCTACATAAAACCACACAAACTAAAAATAATCACACATTTATGAAACCTAATGTATATACAGTAAAAAATAACTATACTATTCCTCAGATTGTTTAGGTATGTGTTAGTGAACCTGCACTCACGTACAAATAATAGAGCACTCATATTTCAGAAGTTACGATAAGTCAATTATTTAAAAATTATTAACAAATACTTATTTCAAATTTGCTATAATAGAATGAACCTTAATTTAATATTTTATACTTGATAAAAAAAAATCAGCTTAACGCTTTGATAATAGTACAACCAGTAATTTAATTAAAACGTAATAATCATTTTAACGAATTCGTAATTATTTTAAACTGTAATCATACTTAGTATATAAAATAATCATAAAAAGTACCGTGGCTGATGAAAAATTAANAAAAAACGCCTCGTGAAATATGCATTCGTATTTTATATTAATAAAATTGAGAGTAATTTTTTAGGGTAGTAAGGTAAAATTATTTGTTTGGCTGGACATTAATTTTAAGTTTTAACATCTTTACACCCTCCACTCAGAAACTTTGTACAATATAGCTATATGTACAAAATTGGATTGTGATACCCTAAATGGTTCATAAAAACAATCTATAATTTATTATAACATGCAATCAAAATTAAATGTTTCTATATTTTTAAATTAAAAGTTGGTATTGCCACTGAATATTATACTACACCAATTAAGTTTGATAAGTATCAAACAAATTCACTGTGCACAAAACTTTGAATACCTATAAAACATTTGTTATTTTAAAAATTAAATATTAAACATCACAAAACCATTTAAAGGCGGTATAAAGTTTGAAAAAGTATTTTTATTTTTTTAATATTAATTATTGATATGAATTATAGATATATTCATGCATATATTTATAAAACCATCCCTTATAAGTGAGTTAAAAAATTAACAAAAGTTCCTACCTAATTTTTTTATTTGCTTAAGAAAACCATATTAATAATGGTTAAAGTCGTCAGTGTCATTCCAAATTTGTAGTCATTATTAAATTTAAAAAAATATTTTTATCAGATTAACAGCATTGTGATGACTTTCACTACGCCATCGCCAACGCACTTTTTTCATAATTGTAACACTATGGAAAAGTTAATGATATAAAACCATATTCATTTATAATCGCCGGTGGTCGTGTGACGTGGTAGTAATGATCAACTATATGGACACAGACAGTATAACTAAAATTTACTATAACTATCTTTCCATCAAGTAAATAAATATAATTCTTTTTATTAATTAAATAACTTCAAAAGCTTAACTTTTTTAAATATTTAATGGCATAGAATGAAACATAGTTGGACCTATATTATCTATGAAATAGTTAACAAAACTTTGTTTTTGTTTACTAGAATGTTGTGCAATTTTAATCTCAAATTTGTTAACTTGTTTACTTTCAAATTTATTTGACTCGAATAAAATGGTAAATTAATCTCAAAGTGCCTTAAGTTCTATATAATTTTATGTGGAGGACCCTAATATATCCTTTTGTTTAAACATATTCGTACAATTAGATTTTGTTGTACATATAAAGTTGTCACTGAATTATTTACACAACCCACTCAGACTATTGAACCATACTGTATAATAGATATACTGGATAAGTATTGCACACCACTTCAATAGGTAAGATTTTATTTAACTTTTACATTTTGAGGACGACAGATCTTAAATGTATTGCTAAATCATATCAACATCTACATTCCACATTCCACCGTTGATAAAAATATATAATTATACCAAAGTTATTAATTATATTTTGTATTTGAGTACTCGTTATATTTTTATTATGACAAATTACAATATTCGAACTATAATGAATGCATTTATATTTCATTGATTGGTAATTACTAATTAGTAAATATTAATACAATATGTCTAATAGTAAAAATTACGAAAACGATTTTATTTATACTCAACGACAGTTTTTCATTATTTGACACAATACTCTTTATATATTTAATTAACTCCAATTCCTGTTTTTTTTCTACAATCCCCTACCACGATTAGCAAGAAAAAAGAAGTCATACAAAAATTATATTTTATCATAATAAACATTAACAATGATATTTTATTTTTAAACCTTTTCAGTGCATAGTTTTGATTTATGTTTAGTAAACAATGTATTTATTCACAGAGTACAAACTCCATTTCCTTATTACTGCAGTATTATTTAAAATACTGATACGCGTAATAATATAAAAAATATAAAAAAAAAAAAATTATAGGAAATACCTAATGAAAATTAGAGAATACTTACAATTTAATATCATTAGCGTTACAATATTATTTAACGATAATATTGTATTTATCATTTAACAGAATTACGTTGTACCTACCCTTTCTATACGATGTTACTAAACTATTAACTGGAAAATACATAATTTCAATCAGATATTGTTTGGTACGATAACTTAAAATATTCTAAAAGCGTCTATCTATATTTCTTGTATATATTTTTTATTTTTTTGTACATTTTAAAGTTAAGTTTTCGTATTATTTCTGAATGGTGTATTTTATTATTTATTATTATTAACGTTATCAAAATTGTACAAAAGAAAATATTTGTAATATCACGTAATGTACTGAAACATTTTAATTTACTATAAATAAAAAATAAAGACTTATCAATTTATATAACAAAGAGAGATTTAGATATTTCCCTTAATATTTTTTAATTTTAATAATTATAACGATGGAAATCTCTGAATTTTACCTTTATTAGACAAACGTCTCAAAAAAGGAATTTTAAATATAGATTCGAGCGCATGT